CAGAAGTTGGTGTTAATTCTGATGTAAATATTTCCAAGAAAAATTGGAACTTCTACAACTCCTTTGGAGGCCTTACTCACTCTAGCATACATGGTGACCTTGTGATTGCATTGTCAGCCATAAGTGATCATTGTCTCTGGGCTGTTATTGCTGAATTGTTTGCTAGTGTCTCTGATGGGTTTCAAGATCATACACTCCTCAGTTTGTTAATATCCACCATTGTCTGATGATTTTGAACAATATCATTCTTTTTTTTTGAGACCAATTTGCTTTTAATATCTACAGAGCAGAATTGTCTGCTAGCCTTAATCCTGAAGAAACTTCTGCTGATCCCATTTCTCTCTTATCCTCAGTATATTCTATTTTAAATCTTCAACCGATTTATTTTACACCTGAAGGTTCTAGTGTCATGTTAGACATTTCATTACTTGAATCCTTATTTCTTCCATCATCTTTTTTTATTCAGGTTGTTGCTGATGCATGCTTTTAGAAACTAGCAAAATATTAGTAGACTTCATATTTCACTGCTCATGTGATTTCTCAAGCTCTTGATCCTCAGATTGGGTATTGGAGGAGAGTATTTCACATGGTTTTTTTGCTTTGACTTGTCATCCATTTTTTGCTTTATACACTTGTTCTGAGACTTTCTACTTCTACACAGTTAACTATTCTCCTGATTTCTTTAGTCACAATCAAATATATATTTTGCAGTCTTCATGATTGGATCTCACTAATATTGTTTCTGCTACTAAGTAGCTATTGGGTTTATTTGGAACTTTATCCAATCATGCTGTGTTGCAAAGTATCAATTCCCCCACCCCCATATCATTTCAGCTGACCTGGAAAGAACTTTTTTTTTCCTAGGTTATTTTTACTTAACAGGTATTTCACCTGAAGTGGTTTCCTGTTCAGGAGAAACAACACAGCAGGAGTTGATTAAGTTTTAGCATCTAGTTTTGCTTCTGGTCGTCGTCCTTCTTCTAAATGATCAGTAAATAATGTTTCTCCTGCTGGACATGCATGGTTTCTATCATAATAGCAATTACAGAAATCTGGATTATAGCAGGAAAGTGAAGCTTTTAAATATCTTTTTGATATAAGAATGATAAGTTTCATGGAAGGTGGGAAAGTGAAGAAGTATGAGTAAGTTTATTTTTGTTCTACAGTCAAGGACAGTTAGAATTTTAGTCACATTTATGTTGACAATACGAGAGCAATTGAATATTTTGTGTGAAGTGTTGTAAAGCTGGCCTTCATCTACTGAACCAGTTACCTAAGAAAGAGTTAATGTAATTTCCTGTTTCTTCACATAGCATCCACAACCCCCAACAAATGAGTTCAATGTAGGTATGAAGCTGGAAGCTATTGATCCTAGAAACGTAACTTCTATATGTATAGCAACAGTTGTGGATATCCAAGGCCCTCGGCTTTGCCTAAGATTGGATGGAGGAGACAACAAGAATGACTTTTGGCAACTTGTAGATTCTTCAGAGATACATCCTGTTGGTCACTGTGAAAAAAATGGTGGTATGTTACAGCCACCTCTGGGGTTTCGTATGAATGCTTCTTCTTGGCCCATGTTTTTGTTGAAGACTTTAAATGGAGCAGAAATTGCATGTTCAAAATTATTTAAGAAGGTAGTACATTAAATATGTTTTAGGGTGATTAATAAATTAAAGATAAATATATGTATTGTGTAACTTATCTATATGACAACTTTTTTATGCAAAAATATAGCATTTTATCATAATTTCTTTTATCTATTTTTCATTAACATGTTGTTGGGTTCTTTATTCATATCTTTTTTTCATCTTTTAAAACCTTATTTGTAACAGATACATTCAATAATAGGATATGATGAAGTTCCTGTGGGTGATGTAATATCTTAGTGTTGAAGTATTAAGTAATTGGTGTTAGTTTATTTTGATGTATGTATGAAACTTGTTCATAGCTATGTTTAGTCACTGTATTTGTAACTAACAACTAAGTATGATAAATTCCTAGAAGTTTGAAGAAGTAAAATATTGCCAGTATTGATAATCATAAAAGACATATTCATTGGTTAAATGTGATATAAGACTAACTTTTTACTCAAGCCAAACATGAATAACCTTTGGCTAAAAAGCAGATGATAAACAATGTAGCATTGAGTACCTTTTTCCATCAGTTTCGTACCTGAAGTAAACTTCCTCTTGTGTTATAGAAATGTTATCCTAAAATTAGTAATCCTATCAATTTTTCACACTCATTTCTCTAAACTATTTCAGGTACTTAATTTCTTATAGGTCCATATAATCCTTGTTGGTTACAGTTCCTAATAACATATGAGCTGTGTGAAAACGTAGGAAAAATACCACCAATGCTAATTACTGCTCATATTTTATATAGAAACTTAGAGTGCACATTTTCTTGGTAATTTCTTTACACTGAGAATTCTAACAAACAAAAATATAAATTAGTCATTGTGATGTAATATGTGAGCCTATGGTAGTAAAGGGTATAAAAATAAGATAGTAATTTGAGGGTTTATATATATATATATATTAATTACCAAAAACAAGAGGAGCAGTTAGAAATTATAATAAATAATAGTTTATAACAAATTTAGGAAACCTAATACAGCTCTTAACTTTAAAAAACAAATTTAAATGTGGAATACCTTATTGTTCATAAAAGGGTGTGTTTTTTTTTTTCAATTTATTACCTTCAGATTTGAAATGTGTAAATTCTAGGGTCATGAACATTGTAATTTTTGGTTACAATATGTACAATGGGAGAACTTTATTTCATTTTAGCTTTAAATAAGTTAATTTTACAAGTATGAATGGAAGTATTTATACATGCAATTTTTACAAATTTCCCAAGAACAGCTATAGATTAATATAATATATAATCTTAGTTTTGACACAAAATAACTATTTAGATATGTAGGTTAATTTTTGAAATTTAAAGTCTTAAAGTTTAGATATAGGATGTACAACCACAGTTTTATGTCATCTTCAAAACCTCTTAATCTAAATGTTAATCAGAACAATCTCCTTGATAGTTATAGGCATTTTACTCAGAACAATCTCCCTAATAACTCTAGGCTTGTTACTAAGAGCAATCTCCCTAATAATTGTAGGCTTGTTACTAAGAGCAGTCTCCCTAATAACTGCAGGCTTGTTATCAGGAGTGATATCCATAATAACTGCAGGCTTGTTACCAAGTGCAATCTCCCTAATAATTGAGGCTTTTTACCAAGAGCAATCTCAAATAACTGGGCCTGGCATTGCCAGGTGGTTAGAGCATTTGACACACAATCTGAGGGTTATGGGTTCGAATCCCCATCCCACCAGACATGCTTGCCCTTTCAACCATGGGGGTGTTATAAAGTGATGGTCAATACCACTATTCATTGGTAAAAGAGTAGCCCAAGAGTTGGCAGTGGGTGGTGATGACTAGTTGCTTTCCCTCTAGTCTTTCACTGCTAAATTAGGGATGGCTAGCGCAGATAGCTCTCATGTAGCTTTGCGTGAAATTCAAAACAAACCAAATTCTAATAACTGTAGGCTTGTTCCAAGACCAGTCTCCCTTATAACTGTAGGCTTGTTCCAAGACCAGTCTCCCTTATAACTGTAGGCTTGTTCCAAGACCAATCTCACTTATAACTGTAGGCTTGTTACCAAGACCAATCTCACTTATAACTGTAGGTTTGTTACCAAGACCAATCTCCCTTATAACTTTAGGCTTGTTACCAAGACCAATCTCACATATAACTGTAGGCTTGTTACCAAGACCAATCTCACTTATAACTGTAGGTTTGTTACCAAGACCAATCCCACTTATAACTGTAGGATTGTTACCAAGACCAATCTCACTTATAACTGTAGGTTTGTTACCAAGACCAATCCCACTTATAACTGTAGGTTTGTTACCAAGACCAATCTCACTTATAACTGTAGGCATGTTCCAAGACCAATCTCCCTGAAAGCTGTAGGCTTGTTACCAACAACAATCTCCCTGAAAGCTGGCTTGTTATCAAGAACAATCTCCCTGATAGCTGCAGTCTCTTACCAAGAGCAATCTCCCTCCTGATAGCTGCAAGTTGTGACACAAAACAATATTCCTGGTAACTGTAGACTTGTTATCCAATTCAATATCCCTTATAGCCACAGGCTTGATACCAAAAACAATTTTCCTGGTAGATGCAGGCTTGAATGTCAACTTGCTCATTTGGAACACATTGTTGTTCTTTTTGCAGTTTAATTATCACAGTAAAATTACAATTTCACATGTATCATGACAGCAGTAGTTTTATTATGGGTTCTAAATTGTGGTAAATTTAGTAACATCATGGATGTGTTCTGTTTGGCCATCAGGAACCACTTACACCAAAATCTAATAAATTTAGAGTGGGCATGAAATTAGAAGCCTTGGACAGAAAAAATCCACATTTGATATGCCCAGCTACAGTGGCAACAGTAAAAGATGACATGATATTTGTTGCTTTTGATGGTTGGAGAGGAGCCTTTGACTACTGGTGTAAATTTGAATCAAGAGATATTTTTCCTGTTGGATGGTGTAAAGCAAGTGGTCATCCTCTTCAGCCTCCAGGTTATAAAGGTATTTCATGAACTTAAGACTGTTTTACCATCTTATTTTATTTTTTGTTGATATACATTATGAGGATTTAAATTTTTATGTACATTTTTAAGAACCACTAGTTAGTACATTATGAGTATACAATAAAAATATTTAGCATTCTGCTGTCAAATCCAAGTAGCAAAATATATTGCCTTTTATAATGTTTCAGTACTAGCTTGAAAGAGAAAGATGTGTTATTTTTAGTTAACATCTTCATGAACTTTTAACAACTTAAAAATTAAGAATAATTAAAATTTTACTTTTCTTAACATGGGATACTTTTATAATAAAAGGTAATTACTTTCATTAGTATGTTATTTCAAAGTAATGTGTTTTAATAAAGTCCCTCATTTTCAATATAGCAGTGTGACATTGTTCTTTCAAATTTTTGTCTCTGGTTTGAGTAATTTACATTTTGTGTACTGGATACAGTTTCCTTTTTTCAGATAGCAGTGTGACATTGTTCTTTCAAATTTTTGTCTCTGGTTTGAGTAATTTACATTTTGTGTACTGGATACAGTTTCCTTTTTTCAGAATTTATGCATTTTGTTCATGCTCTTGTAGATGTTTTAAGACAATTTTATCACTCCTACTCATTTAATAGATATTTTTTCACTGATTCAAACTATTATATGAAGCTTTTAAAGTTACAGTGATGAGAGAACATTTATTAAAATGTGAAAAACTAATAACAATGCTGTTTTAGCTTTAGTAGGAGGTAAGCTGAAGACACAACCTAAAGTTAATTCCTGTCAGCTTGTACCTTCAATCCCTCCTCTTTCGTCATCCCAACCTTTATCTCCTCGAAACACTCAACGTCCTAGCAGCAGCATTCGAGCAAAGACTTCTACCAATAATAGCCAGAAATCAAACAAACAATCAAATTCTGTAACTACATCAATATCTGCTGGTACAGATGAAGAAAATTTGTGGCCTCTTAGATCACTAAGTGTTTTAGTTACAGAACCGGACACAAGCACTGTTTCTAAACAGAATCCCACAGGTTAGCTTGTAGTTTTACTTTATTGACATTTGTTGGACCTTATTCAGAAATGAAGTTTAACTTCTTACAAAAACTTCTTCTTTTTATTAAAATTGCATGTACTTATTTTTATAATACATTTGTGTGTGTGTGTGTGTGTATATATATACTTGTGTACTTGTACTTGTACCTGATGATGACAAAACATTGCGAAATGTTGTACATTTGCTGTTATGTTAAACTTATATTAAAGTTTTTCTTCATTACCCATTCAAGCCATCTCCAGCCATTATTACAGTAAGGGTGTTTGATAAAAGAAGAAAATCATATATCAATTCTTGTACAACACTCTCAAGCCGTAAATGACTTTATCATCAGAATAACATATTTCTCTACACAAAAAAATAATTAAATGAAAGAGATTGCCCATAAAATTATGATTAAAGGCCAGATACAAACAGTTCTGTATTTTACATTTTTAGAAGTATAACTAGCTGAAAAGATCATTGGTTGTTTTTTTAGGGGGGGATTTTCTTTAAGTCTGACATTGTTATTTGCTGCTTTAACTCTCCTAGTTCAATTTTACTTTTAGATATACAATAACAAAACAAAGAGACCAAAGTTTCTATGTATTTTTTACTCAACCTTGTACTTTTGGGGACACGTGTCCAGAGGTGAAATTCTCCAAAAAAAAGTAGAGGTGCTCAGCTTGGTGAAGTGGACCTGTTTTTGAAAAAGAAAAAAAAAATCTGTGTGTAAACATAAAATATGAAAATGCAGCTCAAATAAGTCCTGATACTAGTACCACCTTAAAAAATAAGTTCTGGTACTCAGTACCAGTGTGTACCAGCAGAATTTCACCCATGCACATTTCCAATTGTCTGTTCCCATTGTTTAATCCAACATATGGGTTTCATTCAGTACCCTTCAATATCATCATTAGGCATATGCAGCATTACCATACCATTTAAACCATGTAACTGATGTTATGGTGGTTTGTAATTGTTTTGTTTTATGTTCCCATGTTTCTGACATCTCCCAAAGTTTTTAACACTCCATCACAGGAGTCATCCAGTAGTGTAATGGTGACTGGAAACATTGATATTCAGTGATATTCCAAAACATACTTACCACTTCTCACCCTGTAGCTATTTCTTGATCTCCAAGGTTTCCACTCTTTGCCCATCTAAGCATTGAAAACACTTGCTCCAGTCTTTTATTGGCACTCGAATGACCTTGGCAAATTCTAATTTCTATCTAAGTACTGTATATAAGCACCTAATTTAGATAATGTAGTTACTTTTTCTTGACAAAGCATTCAGCAGTGGTTTCTATAAACAGGAGTATTGTGGTTATTCACAATTTACATTGAAACTTTGAACATACTTGGCATTACTACAATTATATCTTCGTTTATATTTATAAATTACTTTAACAAGAAAAAGAAAAACATACAGAAGAGTATGAATTCCAAAATTAATGTTTCTACTACTGAGGCCAACCAGACCTTTTCTCTTCCACCTCTGCTATCTGGTGTTTGTCAATGGCTAGGGGAGGATTCACTCTCAGTCAGAGTAATCTATGATATGATCTGTTGTGAGATGGAGTCATATATGCAGACCAAGGGTGTCTCTCTAAGGGGTTGTGAGGTGGTTTTAAGGACCTGGGACCAGCTGGGGAGAATTTAGTCTTGCTTTTTCTGGCTCCTTCTTTTACTAGGTTGGCCTCAATAGATGATCATCTTGATCAGCCACCTTCAGTCAATGTTCTTCAGTTGGTTAGTCAGGTTAGTGAGGTTTTGGGGGTCTCTCCTATTGCATTTGACACTACTACTGTTGGCAGAGTGGACAGCAAGTGACTACTTGGTTTTTCCACCTTCTTCTGATATTACTGTTCATGCTGCGAGATTTGCCTCAATTACACGATGGGATAGCTTGTCCCCCACGTTTATTGAAACATCATGCTTTGGCATATCACCACCAGGAAGTGGTATATTTAGATTATCAATGGTTTAGTTTCGAACCTGTGAACACATTAAACAGATCACAGTTTTCTCGAATATATCTTACTCTCAAGATTGTCCTGAGTATTTATCTTCGATCCAACTTTTGTTGGAAGTCTATCAACATTTCCCTAAGCAACTTGAGGATGAGTTGGGATTTTGCTGACATCTACATCAGGCAGGTTGCCTTCTTCGGTTCTTTCTCTGGTTTTTTGGCTGGCTTATTGTTGGGATTTATTGGTTAAAGACATTTTGTTAGAAAGTGTTCATTTATCGTCTTCTGCCCTCAGGGAGTTATTGGAAGCTCCTTTTCTCCATCCCATGTTGTTTGCTGGAGTTCCAGAGATGTTAGAATAACGAATTGATTCAGCTTCTATACATTCTTCTTTATCATCATTGGATTCTTGCCTTTCTGGTGCTAATTTGGAAGTGTCAGCTCGTAGTGTTTCCCAACCCCTCCTTCGATTTTCATAATAGTCTGTCCATATTCTCAAGGATTTTCGGCTCAGGCGGACCATCAACAATGGCGTCAGTGACTATCCTGTGGGTGGGGAGAGCACAATTAAATCACTTTCTGGACATCTGGAGTTCTTTCACCAGGGATCTATGGGTACTCTATGTTCTGACTTCAGGATTGGTCATTCAGTTTACGTCACCTCCACCATTATCTGCATAACCTGTTGCATTTTCACCTCCAATGGATCCACAGTGAGTGGAACTTTGTTTCTAGGCCATAAGAGAGGTGTTAGTCAAAAGGGAAGTAGAGAGGGTCGATTCCGTTCTTCCAGGATTTTATCTCTGTTTATTTATTGTACCCAAGAAGACTGGAGATTTGCATCCTATCATCAATCTGTCTCGACTCCACCAATTTTTAGATCCTCCTCGCTTTACAATGGAATCTTTTCTCAACCTATGATGGCACTATGGATGACCAAGTTCAATGTTACCGATGCTTATCTCCATATTTCCGTAGTGGAATCTTCCCAGAAGTTTCTCAGATTTGTGCACAAGAGTCAGGTGCTGCTGTTCAGGGTTCTACCTTTTGGTCTTGCATCAGCACCTTATGTCTTCTACAGGGTTAATCGAGCTTTTTCTCGTCATCTGCATTCCTTGGGCCTGTGCACACATCATTATATGGACAACTGGCTCTTTCTGGCACCATCCCATCAATTAGCAGAACAACCCTCTCAGATTCTCCTTTCAGAAGCCACAAAAGCAGGCTTCCTTATCATACTGGAGAAATCTGTTCTGTCACCAACACAATATCCCATCTGTCTGGGTGTATTTTTCAGTACTCACTTAAGTTGTACTCAACCAAACCCCATCAGGCTTCAAGCCATAAAAAAAGCCACCAGGATTTTATTAATATCTCCTTCTCCTGCTGCATGGATGGTTCTCTCTCTTTTGGGGATGTGAGCATCCCTTGAGCCTCACATTCCTTTGGGATGAGCATATATGAGGTCCCTTCAGTGGTCACTGTATGACCAATGGAGCATGCATTCCGATCCTTTGAATCATCCTGTCTCATTACTTAGGAGCAACATTGTTGATTGCAAATGGTGGTTGGACCAGAACAATACTACTATTGGGGTACCCATTCCACCACTTCATCCCGAGCTTCATCTGTTCAGAGACATATCTTCAGGATGGGGAGCTTATCTTCAAGGTCAGGAGTTTCAGGGTATTTGGACAGAAGACGATTCTACGTTCTTGAACTCCTTGCATTATACTGGGCAATGGTTCAAGGTCTATTTCTCTAGAAGGGAAAAAAATTCATGATACATTCTGAAAATTCCATGGTGGTATCTCAGAAATCTCGTCAACGAGGCACACATTCTCAAGACCTTTGTTTTCGTACCTTAGATATTCTCTACTGGGCTCATTCATAGCATATCAGTCGTTTGACATGTCATGTTTCAGGAGTGATGGATTTACTTGTAGATCACTTGTTTTGACCCAACTGGATTCTTCCAACAGAATGGATGCTACATCACGAGGTCTTTCATTGGATTTGCTCTCAGTTCGGATTTCCAACTATTGATGCCTTTGTGACTCACTGGAATTCTCAACTACTGTTGTTTTGGTCTCCGATATTTCATCCTCAAGCACTGGCAGTAGATGTGTTCACTCAGGACTGGACTGGTTTACATCTGTGTGCCTTTCCCCAGATTCATCATATCTCTATGTCATCAGCCACCTGGTTGAATTACCCTCTGGAAGACTGTGCAGGCTGGTATGTGGACTACTCCTTATACTTACCTATCTCATTACTTATATGATCTGGTAGTTTCCTCTTCTGACGATTTTTGACTACCCCCTTTAGCTATTTTGACCACATCTGTTAGATTTTAACCATAGGTGAGTATTTTCCTCAATTATATACTCATTTATTTCCAGGGTCCCTTTATTTTTCACTGTTGCCCAGTCAGGTATGCTTTCTTTTATCAATTCCATACTAGCAATCACTTTCACAATAATTACTACAGGTTGCAACAGTCTCTATCAAAATGGGGTGTTCCATAAGACCATCTGGGCACATACCGGATGGTATTACCTTATTATTATAGACTGCCACACATGAATTGTCATGAGTAAAGCCAAAGGGGAACCTGCCGATTCCTACCAATCTTCATGTTGAATAAATAAGGGTTAGTTTGCCTTTAAAAATGTAGGGAACTTGGTTCACCTATTGCACAGTTTCCAGATCACTGTTCCTCATGACTCCCCAACACATATTACCCCCAGACTTTATTAGTGGAGCTCGGAAGTCCATACCACCTTGCCCACTTGGTTGAGGAGTGAGGATGAATGTTCATAATTCCAGACCAGATGAGTTCTGTTTCTTTGGTTGAGCACAGATAGCTCATTATGTAGCTTTGTGCTTAATTATAAACAAATCTTTGGTTGAGTAAGGCATACACGATCCTGTCATTCTGAGCCTGGGGTGTTGCCTTTTGAACTTCTTCAGATGAAGGAGAAACTTTGTTCACTTTGGTGTTGCTTACTTTTTTGTCGTGAT